TAGACCGGACAAAGCATTCTGTAGAGCATCCTCTATGACAAAGTTGAAAAGAAATGGGGACATAGGGCAGCCTTATAGGACTCCACTGAAGACGCCGAAGAGTAGAGAAAGCTGATCGTAGGCCCTAACCCGACCTTAGGTATGACTATACAACTCTTTGAGGATCGACAGAGATACGCCATTCCTCAACAAAGAGTTCTATAGTACGGTCCTATCGATGACTGGGGTCTCGAGCGTACGAGCTGAACCGACCTGTTGTCCTATACGCATCAGTGTCCACATTAAGTGTGGCTAGTTTGAATGGACATCGAGGGCGAAGAAGGGCTTCAGCTGGTGGCGGATTCGATGAGAATTGGACGGCATTCGAGGTAGGACATGAGAGGACGGCGGCAGAGTTACCATCTGAGGTTTTACTGTTAGCAGGATCGTCTGAGGATCCCGAGGAACGGGATGGAGGTGGGATGGGAGACATGAGTGTGTGTAAGGGTGTAGAGTGTTTGTCTCTAGTTGCAGAAATTGTGGGCTGAATGCACATAGAAGTCGAAGGGTTCATCGTTGCTGGGCTGTTGTACTACTCGGTCGCCCGGTCCAGAGTAGGCCTTGTTCGAGGTTACACTCTACCAACCATGGAACCATGCGCGGACTGCAAGGCAGCAGCGATATTCCAGCTGAGCCGGTGGCTAGTATTTGGTTCATTCGCCTGTTCTGGAACTTTGCCGAACAATAGATTTCGACAAGGGGCGATGGCCCTATTTAGTGGCGGGTCACCCTCGCCCCGTCACGACGCTGTCCACAGATATGTGTGGTGTTTTGTGCGGAGTATTCTTGCAAAGAGGTAAACACATCCTCGAGTGCTCCCGCTGATCGTCCGCGACCGCTTATCCGGAGGGCAGAAGCCCACCGTATTCACGTTTAGTCGTGAGATGACGACCGTTCCCCTATCCGCGATCTGGGGNCGTGCTCGGTAGCATACAGCTCTGCTCTTCCATTCGAGCCGATGACCACATTCACATTCAGCAAGGTGATGGTTTGTGTGGTTCTTTTGGAATTAGGGTATTTAGCCATTTCGCCTGCGTGGGCTGCCAGGGGTTCACCGACCCGTTTGTAGCTTCTCGTTCTCCCACCTTCATGCGTGCTGAACTCATAAGATATGAGTTCGATTGTAAATTTCAATGCCCCGGCTTTTTATTTAGCACAAAGAAGATACACCCAGTAGCCACTGTCATACCGTTTTTTTCCAGGTAATGATGCGCTTCCCGTTCCTGATGTTCATCTCGAGACTTTTGAGAATTTCTTTCATACACACGANTACACACGAGTAACAAATAAGGACTCACTTTTATCCAGTAACCGTGATTTTTGGTTGCAGAGAAAATACATTTTCCATAGACGATAGGCGGTCAAATTGCGGTTCACATCAAAATCTATTTGATTTTTATTTTGAAGACGCAAATTATTCCCTCCAAAAAGATAGCACTAAGAACGGATAATATTTTAAAAATTCTCCAACAAGCAATGACTTAATTCGATTGGTACTAAGATTTAATAGTGTTTAAAACCATCTGACAAACATCTTGTTTGAATCACAAGTACCACACTCAATCTCAACCAAAGATGCTGATTTTACAAAGGGTTTATTTCAAAACCGTGTCCGTACTAGATCAGCTCGGATCCCAATATGCTTCGGAATATGTGACGAAGTCCACGGAATGTGTGAGAATTAAATCGATGCTCCCGGACGACTTGTGACGAATTTATCGTCCATCGAACTGTGCAGTTTCCGAACTGAAGCACTTATCTGGTCTCCGACTTTGTGTTCCGCGTTTGTTTATATTTGACACGAATACGGTGCCAAAATAACCACTGAGTTGAATGGGAATTACAGAAACAGAACAAGAGAGAAAACAAAAACAGTCAATTATAGGAATGACAACCTTTTTTGCTTGTTTACTTCACACAGTTTACACTTTTTTGCTTGTTTGTTCGGATTGGATACATTGGATACACTCACGCCACTGACTGCGGTTCGATGTCAGTGAAATCGTTCTGCTCAACGGAATACTACCCGTCCCTAACACACGTTGTCTAGTCTCATTGTTGCTCACTTGATCCTCCCACCATACGCGGGTGATAGTGCGCAGATAACGGTTATCGAACTACGCAAGTTCGTTGGACATAATCGGCTCCGAAAGGCCAAGTTTCGCAGTCGTAGAACAACACGGTGCTTACCGTTGCACAATACACAGGCTCCTTTACTGAACGGTCTATGTCGCGCCGGCGCGGGAGATGCGACAGATTTGCCGTGTTCCTTGGCAGAATCGAATGGGCACTTTGAATCGTTTTCCGATCACCTATGACAATTAAACCCACAGTCACAGGATTCGTTCAGTTGGCTTAAAACTAAGCTGGTTGCTCTCGACCAACTATGCCGAATGATATCATACGCTTTAAAAAAACCGGCACACTAAAACCTTTGAGATTCTCCAATCAAATTCGGAATTGGCCTTATTTCTACCCGATAAAGGATCTGATGTCATTGGTATAGATATGACCAAATGGGCGGAGACAATATGTTCACTGCTAAGGGACGATCCCTACTTTGTGTGTGAGAAGAAAAAGCTCCGGGATCGACACGAACTCGAACAGAAGATATAATCTTAGATACAGTTTTTAACGGAAGGAAATTTTAACTTCAAAGCTACTGAAACACCACAAATGTATGTGTGGGTTACCAAAACTACATAAAACTAGTGTACCCCTTCGTTCAGTAACGTCCATCCGATATTCTGCATAGTCCGGTATGGACATGTTTCTTGTCAATACATTCGAGCCGGTAAGAAAGTCAATCGCGAATTGCTCATTGACGAGTAGCTTCGAACCTACAAAGGTTATCGAATAACCAAACAATAAGGACTGTCATATGGCATCTTTTGATATCTTTCCTCTGTTCAATAGCATGCCTATTTTAGAAACTGTACCAATCACTTTCAGCCTTATCTTGAATTGGATATTCTCATTTCGATCGTGGAGTGTCTGCTAATTCCGCGCACAACGGATCTACATTCCAGGCTTCCAGACCGATGATTTAGACAAGTCAATGGGCAGCTCGTTGGGTCCGATTCTAACTGACACGTTCATGGCTAGTCTAAAGACCGAAGCAAGTAGGACACTGAACGGCATTATTCTGCACAGCAGATACGTTGATTCGTTTATAATCACCGGACGCATCAGAGAGACCGACGAGTCATACCTTATCGCGATTAGATTTACAAGAACATCCGATTCACTATAGAAACCGAACAAAGCAATAGTCATTTCCGTTTAATCGAAGACTGAACGGGATTATTTCGAGGGTTGTGCATCATAAATCCACGTGGGTCGATCATTATGTGCATTTTCGGAGTTTTTCTCCAATCTATTTCAAGCAAAACTTCATGCTAATTGACTGCCCAGCGAGGTTCATACAAAGGCACATTGTAAAAGCTGCACCGTAATTTTCGTGATGGTGGAATGCGACTTTCCCGTTCCAACTCCACTCGATTATGTAAGCCAGCTCATACGAAGGCGGCTGGTGGTGACTGTAACTGACACATTTTACTACCAATTCGGTCGTTTGCTTCACAACAACCCAGATTCCGAAGCCAAATCTCATTTAATTTATTGATTTCAATATGGGTGCAGAGCCACCTACTTGGGAAGAACAGTAAGGTAACTGCCTACCCCGTGGGCGAACACAAACCAGCATGGGTCGAAAATGCGCGGATGAAATCGAGGGCTGCACAAACATCCAGTCTCTCAGACCATCTGCGTCGCGAATCGCTCGCCATCTGCTGCAGCCTGGCCACCAAGGCGATCCCTAGGCTTCATTTTGGGTTGTTTACACAACTCCAAATGGACGGCTGCCAAGATTTGCATAAGCCATAACAATCGAGTGTCGAAAATCCCTGCTGTGTCAGCNGGTTTAAGTCAGTCCGGCATTACCGTGGTAACCACATAGGAGGGAGAGTAAATTGGTGCTGTTATCTTATCATCGTATGTGTTATATAAGCAATTTTGTTTTCTTCAATAAGTAGCAGCAGATGCAGAGAAATTAAATCGTGCCTAAGTGCAACGTTGTGTTCTGTATTCATGTTTATTTCGGGAAATAATTTCTTTAGAACTATGTTATCAATTTCTCGTGAAACTAGTACGAGTCCATCTGTTATGCGCCAGCTGAACGGATGAAGTTTCATTCTTTTGGAGCTTATTTGAAACGCTCGAAGTTCATCGACCCCTATCATGATGAAATCTTGTTCGTGGNNNTGGGAAGCATTGGAGGAAACGAAAAATATCAGTTCCGCGTTTTTTTCATCGGCTGGAGACATGCGTCAATGCTTCTAGGACTCAGCACAGTGAGTTAGCATTTTCATCTCTATGGTTGATTACATTCAACTTCTGGCTTTACTCCACATTGAGAACCATGAGTTCCCGAAGCTGTTCGCTCAGATACCTGTGCAGGCAATGCATCGTTCGATGTCATCTCCCAATGGTTTATGGTTTTATGGGACGAATGCGAACACTCATTGCTCTTCTTTACACAGAAAGCGCGAGCCTACTCGATGAACATAGGATTTTGCTTCGCGTGATTCGATTTGAAAATCTGACCTACAGACTCGATAGACACTTCGGCCAATAGATTTCATTGTTCAACCAGCAAACGACGCCATGAATGTGAGCGCAGTGTTTTTCTGTCATTCAGAAGTACTGTATCCTGTTCACTGTCCAGGTTTGTCTCTTCCCGTGCGTGCATATGCTCGTTCCTCACAATGTGCATGTGTATCGTTATGTATTGATTTTNTGCCGCCACTGGCCTGGAAACCACATCCACTTGCTCGTTCGAATCCACCACGATGCGTTGGTGGGTTGTTTTGTTCCTTCTGCAAAGGATGATGTCAGCGTGATGTCTGTTATTCAGGTCAAATGTGTGTGTGTTCTATCGTAGGAGGGGGAGGCTGTAACTTTTCACATCTATCCCGTTTGTCAGATCTGACACTGCTGCCTTCAGGGCAAATCACGCGATAAACCACCAAACTGTGTACGCATGTGCACACATACACACATTTGTGGGCACCGTATCCCACTTTGCTTCACTCTCGTCCATCTCGGCTTCAAGTCCGCGTGCGCACGGACATACGCGTCCGGAGCGAAATGCCGTACGGAGAATGCCAACTATACGTTGGGTTTTTGTTCTAAATAGATCCCCAATCACATCAGAGGTGACTTCAGTCAGATGGATAACGCGCGTGATCATCGTTTTTTCCCGTTCGAGCCACATTGGTAGTTTGTCCTGTGGAAATTCGCCTGGCTTCCGAATAAGAAGACCTCGTATCTACTTTCTGAACCCTCACCCCAACCGGATCATCTCCCGTTAGTTTTGTTTTTAGCTTGTCTACCTTCACAATCGGCTTGATAGTGTGGTGCACACACTCTCTT